TGAAGCGGTTTCTTCATGCCCGCTGAACTCCAAGCATACGAAAGGGCTAAATTCAGTTCTTTGTTTGATACGTGCCGAGAACAGCTGTATCAACATCATCCACACACACACACACACACACACACACACTCAATGTTCAAACTTTAGATTAGATCTACTACTAGCTATCGTAATTCGGTTTTTTCATATCCCACTCGTGTGCCTGTTGATAACGATAAAGTTTCCACAGAATTAGGTAATCGCTGGATTAACAAAGACGATCACTACTACTTTCACCATCCACATATATGGTGTGTGCAAAATGCGTCAAATTGGCCCATCCCGGTGCCTAAAGCTACTACGGACTTGACTTGCTAGCTAACTAGCGATATCTCCGGAGGCGAGGGCAACGCTCAGCCAGTTTCGTTACATTCCACTCTCACCAATACAACTTCCGTGTCTGTGTGAAAAGTCACGTGACAAATGCCATTGAGATAATTTGGATTCCAAAATAACCCCGACTCATCGACTGTGCAAGCTGACACGCGAAGTGGAACACGGAAAATGTTTTGCAGTTCGCTTTCTTCACGTACTACGGTACCACTAGCAATGTTAACCCCGTTCGGCAGACAATAAACATGAACAAAGTGACCTTTTGTACTCTACGCTGTTTAATTTGTTCGCGACGAATAATTAGGTATGTGGGTCAAAATTTCACGTGATTCTACCGATGGGACCGTTTGTTTTTATGACGGCGAACTCCACCTATATATTTATTGGATTTTAAGCGTTTCTTCGATCGATTGCTTCGATACATAGGGCTGGGATGTAATACAATTCGCATGTTTTCATCCAAAACAGACTGCAGGATGATTAATCTTTTAAAAGTGATGATTCTCAAAGTCAGATACCGTGTTTGCTTGGCTAAACAAACGCTCCTTCTCTTCGAATTTGTTTTATGGGAATTCGGAATGCGCATAAAATCGGACTTTTGAATGTGAACGAGAAATGTAATGCCTTACATGCTTCCAAGAGCCTCAGTGTGGTCGGGGGCGGGTGTTTGGGGTTGCGGTAGTCACAGTTACCTTGCACCTCGCGAAATGTTCCCATACGACTGAGCGTCTCAAATAGCCTCAATTGAAGAAGTCCTACTCAGTGCCTTTCCGTGGTGAGGAGTTGTTTTTCCACCACCGGGTCGGTGAACCACTGACTAAATACCCTGATTCTAAACCAACCAAGAAGAGGTGTACGAACCACACACTCACACATAACTTCCTGGTTATGACAGTGGTTACTGGCTCATCTGGGCACCTTGGACGTAAGACTCCGTCTGAAGCGTGTATGATCCAACCAACTGGACATTGGCTCCCAATGGATTGCGACTTTTAAACACCATCTTGCCGTCTTGCGGACCAAGCTTTGGCTAGTCAAATACTTCTGTTGTGAATTCCCCAAGAAAATTCACCTTCTTTGGCATGGGCAACCTGGCAGTGTCACGCTCATGAGCAAATCATGGACCTTTTTGCTTTTTATAAAGACTACCGTACCGTGATTTGTTTGACACACAGTCTGAACTCAGATGTGTGTGCGTGTGTGTGAAAATATATAAATGTAAAATACTTTAACGGATCTTATTTAGTTGGATTACGCCGTTGAATAGAACTATAGCAGAGTATCGATTCACTTGGCATCGATATTGCGAAACAGATTTGTGCGTCGGCACAGAATCGCTTACTGCTGTCGTGCGGCTTACGTGGTTCTTCGTCTCGGAGCAAATGAAGCGAAATTTTCGACTCATTTGTGACAATCGCGAACACGTGATAGACTCAGCACAGATAGAATATCGATGATAATGATAAAGATGTGGAGTTTCCCATCGTTCCCAGAATTCCGGTCGATCCAACGCGAGGTGGGCTGGGGGGAGTAATCCCAGAAAGAGGTCAAACATCGCATCCAATAAAACTTGTATGAAAAGTTAACTCTTCAATGAAGCACACAACACTTCTCGAGTCACTTACTTCAAGAGCAGTCAATACAAGCAGGTGTTAAGCCCTATAGCAATAGTCTTTGTGAAATCGGCTCAACTTTGTCAATGCTTGAAAGGATTCATTCCCATTGATATGCATCATGCCATTATTCCGTAACTTTCGCCTAGATTCTTTGTGACAGAGGAGTAGTGTAAAGCGGGACATGAACATCTCATCGGAATCCTTGAGAAAACGCCAACTTTCGACGCAGTCCTTGTGAGACGGTGTGATCCGAGGTACTCCTTTTTCTGTACGACCGCAAACTGCACCTGGTACGAATGCCTGTAACCATAAGCCTGAAGTTCAATGAATAATTGTTTTCAAATACTCCTATTCATATATGATGTGGTGGAAAACTGCTTACATACTGGGGATAGCCATTAGCTCAATTTTAGGTAGTTAATCAAAGGGCGAGAGTAGAGGATGTGTGCGAATAAGGATATTTAGCGTGTTAGTTGTGACCTTTTCCCATTTGGGTCAGGTGACATGTCACAGTCTGTCTTGATTTTCACACCCAACCAACCAAGGTAATTGGGACGCCTACACCAGTCGTTCTTGAGCATCCAGGTTGGGTCCCAGCAATCGAATAGTGGTCGCCTCGATCATAGCTAGTGTGCAAACTCGGGCCGTCCTCGATCGAGTGAGTGGGATGCGATAAACAACATCAAACACTTTCTCCGTTTCGATTTTGTGCCCTGTATCGAGCAGATATCCCAGGATCGCGTTTGAGATACAGCCCGTTGTTCCTTGATTCAGCTATCGCGGGTGATGCTCTTATCACATACAGACACCTACAAGCATGTGAAAATTTCACTGCCAAAATACGCTCAGACACTCACCACCCGTTACACAACAAATTTTCAAAAGCTTTATCTGCATCATCCACACGCTCAAGATTTAAACTTGTATTTGCACGTACCTCTCATCGTAATTCTGTTTTGCCACGTCTAGAACGTCTACTTATTAACAAGGAGAACGGCTCCCCAGAACTATACAATTGCTTGCTTCATTCACAAACACAATATCTAGTGCTTTCAGTTTCATTATGTATGATTTTGTAAATCTAAGTCCACAAATATGGTGTGTAAATGTTGAAAATTCACCCATCCGGATGCATAAAGCTACTACTACTGGCTTGACTTGTCCTCTTGAGACAAATGCCTCACCGTACGATCTATGCAACACACACCACAGATACATTTAAAAGAGTAAACTATCATGGATGAGGTCAGTTTCGGCAGTTTGTCTTACACTTGCATTCGTATCACCGGTGATACAGACAACATCGGTCTAATTTTGTTTTTGTGGGGAACGTGGAAATTACAGTCGGTCTAAGTGACTTTACTAGACTATCCATGTGTGTCCACCTTATAATGGGTTTATTCCTGGGGATACAGACGAGGTTTTCCTGCTGTTTATGTAGCAACATAAGGCGAAGATAGTTTTCTTCCATCTTCAGAATAGCAATAGTTGGGAGTAGTTTAGCAATGCCTCACAATACTCCGATTTAGCTCCGCAATCGTTCTCGGTTTTCGGGAATAAATGTTTAGCTTTAGATAGTCCAACAGAAAGAAATCCATGGGAGACAATGCAGGTGATTCTGGAGACCATCCTTTTGATCCTCCTTGGACAATCCGTCTGCAGTTAAATTCCGAAACAAAGAAACTTCTCACCACCAGAACAGTGTGTGGCGGTGTACTGTCATGTTGGAACCAAACTGTAGTGCCAACGCCAGTTTCAGGATCATCGTTGCTGGTTTCCTCACAACATAAACATGACAGCATAAAAACACAAACGCTCACGTTCTCACGCTCGTTCTACGTACTCGCACTGGAAGCGCACTCAGCACCCTGACCAACATTCGCGGACTGAACCGCTTGTCCTTTTTTGACCGCAACACAAATCTTCCCCTCGTCAGACACCCACCACCCACGTGGAACTTCCCAACTACACTCTCCATTCTTTTTTTCTATCCAAAGCTGGTGTCTGTGCCTTTATTCACCAATCCTTCGCCGTCTCCAAGATCCCAGATCTTGACTTTTCCAATTGTGAATTTCAGTTGATGTGGCTGAAACTCTGACTTCTTTCTTAAAATCTGTTCTGTATTGTTCCTTACTAGTTGCGACTCCTTCGTCTTCGATTTTCAATCTTAGAACATTGAACATTTGTTTGCAACCGACCCCAAATGTCGTGTTACCATCTTGGAAAATTTTAACTTTCATAATCATCTACTACTTCTTCTTTGGGACGCGAAGCCGAAAACACTTCGCTTTGGTCAATAACCTGAGCCAATTAGTTGACAGTTCCACAAGTGTCCCTGGTGGCGCTTTTTCTCTGGGAACCGTATTCTAGTCATATTCCTTGTCACTGTTCCGTTTCTAACATCCACTGTTCAACCACTGGCCGAGGTATCATCTTCTCGTATCTGTCGTCACTAAAATCGGAGATGAAGATATTAACTTAACTGTTGGTGAAACGTTTGCAAATACCCCCTTCCCGCGCATGTTTCTATTCAGTCACTTCAACCTCGGATAACACTACCAGGAGTAAGTATGGGATGAATATAACCACTACTACTACTACTACTACTAGTACTACTATCTGAACGCCTTGATCTTCACATGACATAGCACGGTGGTTCACAGTGATCGCTATAGATATCGAGGAGATTTGGTTGAGCAGCAACAGCTGCGATCTCCCGTGTGAAAAATCAGGACAAGAATTTCACTTGACACAGGATAGTTCGTATACGACAATACGTGAAGACTCAAAATGCGACTGGGGGAGAATAATGCACGGGGATAAAAGGGAACTTTACATTTGGGTGAAATGTTTTGTGCTGACCGATTTATGACATGTTGCAATCGTCATGAAAGTGAAACCGGCAACGGAGAAAGGGATGGGGAACAGTTAATAATCATACGTCTGATATGAAAACAGTTAGAATGGAAGTATAATGACACACCGCATTCCGGAAATAAGATAATTGCAATCTTAATCTTCTTCATCGTCTGTCAAGAGATCGTCGACTGGACCGGGATAGTAGCCATTCTTATATAGACCAAAACTTTGGCGACTACCACGCGGATAACTCTTGTTTACCTCGTACGGAACACCGATGGACGGACGACCTGTTGTCCTAGGTGTACGCGGGATGAATGCGGGAGAAAAATGCTCTCCCGTAACCGGCTGATATGGTGAGGATGAAGCCCATGGGGAGCCGGGTATCATGGTCACGGATTCATAAATATCACCGTCCGCGATTGGAAATCGACCGGACCGGCGTTTTCTACCCCTTCCCCTCGGGGAAGACGAACGCCAACAGTCACACAAATCACTGAATAGAACAACACAGAGAATCAAGAACAATCGAACCAGTTTTGGCGCATACGAATTGACACTTCGAGACCAATTCGAAGACGGATCAGTTTGGGATACAAATTGGGAGGAAATAAATGCCAGAAGAGAACGACCCATGCTAACCTCATCAAACGGCAAGTACAGGGAATAGATAAACAATGTGGCACCAAACACGCGAAGCGTGTATCGCATCACGACCGAGGTTCGTGGATAACGCTCCACCAACAGGTCAGGCAAACGAAACCAGTAGAGGAAAACAAACGAGAGAAACGCCACCAGGACCACATAGACCGTAGTATACTCAGCATTGTCCATGAGCAGATCAAACATGGTGGACCGGACATATTCCAAAAGCATACAGGATAAACTGAACGTGCTTCCGAGCAAAATCAGTAGACCTTGCAGCACAGTACCACTTCGTCGAAGCGGGAGCATACGTATGAATAGGATTAGAGCAATCACAAGGCTCCCAACTACGGTCATGCTAACCCCGGACAGATAGTAGAATCCGATTGTTTGTGATAAATAATCCGACAGGATGACAGTGATCAGACCCAGAACACATTTGAAAAGATTGATCTCGTTGAACATGGATGTCACATTGACGTGTAGTGTGGATGGAATGACTAGTTGGCCAGCGTCACGACACACCACGAGGCACGGGGATGGAAATGCCGGGATGGTAAAGTTGATCTCGTTGACCGAGGTCAGCGTTTTGCCTTGATACAAAACCGGGGAAGAGAAGATGTTCGACCATAGTTGGAATAGAAATGAGCCATCCGAATTGTCTACATTAGTCTGTGCACACAGAGAGGATATGGCTGCACTCGTATCGGATACGTGTTGAGTGTGTAGTTCGCGAACGGTCAGAGAGAACAGGGGAGAAATAGGCCGAATATCTTCGACATATGTGACCGGTGAAGCTTGCAGATTGAGGTTGACAAAGATATCTCGTAACATATAGAGGGGCCAGTCAAAACCATCGGGAACCTTGAAACAAATCACTTGGGGAGTAGAAGTCAATTTCACTTCTGCCATAGAATCGACCATTATCTCAGTAGGAGACCAACTTGATCCTCGGACATTGAACCAGTTCAACGAAAAGAGCACAATCAGTAATATGGGTGACATTCCAACGGGTTACGCAATCAAAGGGACAGGCCGTTTTCCGAATACAAGATGCTGAAATGAGAAAAGACGCATTGTGATGAAACTGATGAGTACTTTTTTTCTTGTGATTGAATACATAATGAAACAATTTTCAGGGAGGGGGCAGTAGGTCAATCAAACGGGGCTATCTTCGAACACACAGGAACACGGGGAAACCCAGGCGGTTATGGTGGGATTCGAAAATACGTCCGCTCCTCTGAGGTGATAATTTGGTGACGTCACCACCTAGCCACTACCACCCGGTGGTGCACTGCGTTTCCATTGTTTTATGGGAAATAGCGAGATTAGAACTGAATTTGACTCTTTCGAGCACCGCCAGTATACCCTAGACAACAATGTTATGATGACAATCATCAGGCCACGAATTGGGGAACTGCTACCGTGCGATTTACTGGTTTGCAGCTGCGGACTTTTGACTGGTGTTATACCCTGTCAATCGTCTACCACACAGGGACAGTGCACAAGTGAAAAGTAAAACTGGTTTTCAACCTGGTCGAGAGTGCATCGAACACCGTTTTACACTTCACTAAATTCCGGAACACATTGCTTTCGGAAATTCGGAGATTCTATTTTTGTTTGATCGCTCTTTACTTGGGTGCCACTCCTCCTTGACGGATTTGTCCGAGGTCAGTTCCATATTAGGACTGGAAGCAGTGAAGCACATTAGGTTAGACGTGGTATTAGGCTGGACGATATCAAAGTTGTCTTTCTATGCTAGATGAAGCTTACGACCCTTTTCTGTCCGAGTTTACCATGGAAAGCACTGTTCCTCAGAGTTACGCTTTCTTTCTTTCGCCATCCAACTTTGAAATCCATCTGATCCTGTCCGCGTGTGAGGATAATGGTATCGATTTGCGTACAGATGGCAAACTATCCGATCTGGAATAGGCAAATGAAATTTTACTGCCAAGTAAAAATCCAGGTAAGTTGCACGTTTTTCTGGATAGTTTGAGCACTAATGTAGCTATACTCAGGTAAACATTTTGCATCTTTAAAGTGTAAAATGTTGCTACAAGACGGAGTTACCGTATTGCCCCAACTTCACTCTAACTGGGGAAGTAAACAGATTTTACTCTCTGGAAAGCTATGTCTAACCTGGTGGACGCATTACGGATGAAGTTTTGGCATGCATACTGTTGTATCCCAAATTGAGTAGGAAGATGAGCACACAACGAATTAAGCAGTAAGTTTATTGTAAACAGCAAATATGTAGCCGGTACACAAACCGGGGAACAAGCAGGAACGATCAGCGTGTAGGAAGGCAGGCAGACAGGCCGACTCCGGCTCACACGTCTCACTATATGCGAATAATGACACGGGCACATTTTTTATGCTTTTCCTTTGTTTTTGTTTTGATTCTCCTCTGGTTTGTTGTGATTTGTTTGCTAACCAAAGGTTCAACCGAGACTTTTTGAGTTTGCGACTACACGACTTATGTATTAGTGGAGGACAATGAAGATTCAAGGGGATGCAATACTTGTTCGGGAGCAGTGGGACTCAACACATACAAAAGGCCTGATTGGCATTTATCAATCTAGGGATTTTACGGTGCCCATGCGTGATCCGGCGATCCGTGAAGATACGAGTGTAAGCTGCATCAGTTGGACCAGTGCTGCTATGTGCTTGCCCACCCGGACCTACGTTTGCATTGCAAGATTCTAATGGGGGGGGAACAAGCAGCGCTCAGTTTAAGCGCAGAGTTTTAGAATAATCGCAATCACTCAATGAACCAAGCTGTTGAATTCTATAGTTTACGTTGAGCGCGATGTGTTAAACATATCACCAGATACGCTGCCACGGCACGAGATATTTACCGATACCTGGGAGTATGAAAACTCCGACCAAGAGACTCGATCATATTGGTCACCTTCGGATTACAATCGATGGTCAGAGACAGTCACGCTCGTACATCTACTCAAAGTCTCCAACACCTTAGTCACCTGAATTCTCTGTTTTCACCTTGGCTCTGCCCTCAGAATGGCAATTTTCCGCCTATTCCTTCATCCGAATAGGATACGAAAAGACGGCAACCAAAACCGTCGCAAGAAAGTACAGAATTTTTTGTTGTATAAACTGAAAACGGACGCAGGAGTGTGGTGGATTCTTGGATGCGTGTCCTAGTGAGGGGTCCGCCAAACTAGCGGAACCCATAACTACAGATCTCTGCTGTGACCGTGGGGAAATCGATCCGCTAGTTTCATCTTACTTCGTCGTGTTTCGGAAAACTTTGCTATTCTTATTTGGTTTAGCTACCTTGTCAGCTAAGTGGTTACCGAGATGTTTTTTTATCACACACCTAAGTGTGATGAGCAACAGACGGGACGAACTCCGCAGTCACAAAGACCTGCTGCTCAATGGTTTTAACCGTCAACCTAAGTTCCGGGGCTTGGAGTGACCAACCACATAAGGAACCGATAGATGGAAGTTGCAACATACAATCGACTATATGGAGATACATATATATAAGTGCGATTTGGATTATTTGTGTGAACCAAAATAAACGAACTGTTTCTATGATCACAGAATTCTATCACCAAAGGAAACCCTATAACCCCATTGAAGCTAGTGGGTCGGCTCATTTTGGTTGCTCTGAGCGACTCAGCAGAAATTAGTTCGATCGAAAAGTGTATGAACCGATTATCATTGCTTACCGGTTCACGCTGGATTGCAGTTTGTTGGAATGGTTTTATTGTCCTGTGCGTTTGTGCAATCGAATATGCCTCCGTGCTTTTATCATGTTGCTAATGACTCAACAAATGGACTACCAATTGCACAAACAAACCTGCAGGTACGCAGTCTTTCAATATTGCTCTCCATTACGCATAAACGCCTGTGCATATCACTCAACAAGGGGAACTTTATGGGACTCTAGCAACATTAGTTATTGATATTTCTTAACTCAGAGCAATCGCATCCGGCTGAAATCCAACGGATGTTCCCAGGCTCTTTTTACCGTGCTTGTGAGAAAACCTAAAGCATCAGCAGTAAGCGAGGCAGATGTGAGCATAGAGCCAAATGGCAAGACATAAGCTGCTATACAAGATACCATCCCGGTTAAAAGCCGCCTTCACTTAGTGAGACCTAGACATTATCCCAATATTTCCATCGATGCATAAGAACAAAGTTGAAACGCGAAATTTCTTTTCGATATACCGCTTTAGGCATTTACATACTTAGTTCGATTAGTCAGTAGAATAATATAAGCATCGACGCTTCATCCTGTAGCTGCTAGCCCGTGCTCAATCGTTGAGACGTACAGCGCACAATCGGCTACTGACTGGAATCCAGTCAAGAAGCAAGCGCTCCGCCTTGACACTTAGCGCAATCCCAACGTCGGCAGCACCGCGAGCTTCAGATGCCGAATCGCCTGACATACGAAGGGTGAAGCGTGAGTTTCAGGTTGGATCACGAGAATGCAGGGAAATAATGGAATAATACAATGCCTAGGCTGATGCTGAATGAATGTCTGTGTGCAAAATGTTTGGTTGACAACAGGCTGTGGGATCACAATAATTGGATAGGGGAAAGCCGGATGAAAATGTATGAATTGGACGCGATATGAAAGGTGTTAGACAAGAATGAATAAAGCAGGTGTGAAAGTGTGCGAAAAAGACATTAAATGAGAAATGGGAGACGAAGGGAACAGAAAGTATCACATAGAGATATGGGCAATTGTTTTCATAGTTCAGTTCAGTTTGAACAACCATTAACCATGCACTTTCGTGCGCCGGTTTTGGTTGCTGCCTTTTGGCTGCCCATTTGGATGAAGAATAGGAGAAAGGAAAGTTGAAAGTGGAGTCGAAAGGAAAATGGAGAAGTTTAGTGGTCTAAGGTTACAAAGAAATTGAGGAGATGCACGAACGCCACTGTTTACGACACCCAGCCATATCACATTCGGTGTAGCTAACCATCGGTTAAGATCATCCCGAGGTCCCCAGCCAGGGAGCCTAACAGGACCTATGT